AGGGGCGCATTGAGGAACCTGGTCGTGGGCAGCAAAGAGAATAAATGTGGCCCTGCTGCTAATGATTACTGTTTTGGAACTAGCATGCTATCCCAAAAGTGAAAGCTTAAAGTGCATTTTCACTTTTGCAGCCAAATTGGCATAACACCTACTTTATATTTGTTACATATTCCTATTCACAATGCATAACTTGTGAATGCAAAATTCATAGTGCAAAAAAAAAAAGCATTTTAGGTGTTTTTACTTGCTTAAAAATCTAGCTTCCTCTAAGAAGGGGACGGGGGAGGTAATGTTTAACATAATTAACCCTGTCTGTAGTGTGCTGGCAGATCTCATTATCAGATGTACATTAGATTTGAACACTGTCCTAACAAAGGGTTAAAGATCTATAAGCACTGTTTGTTAATGAGAGGAAGCTCAGTCTGTCCCTAGTCTTTTTATGGGGACAGTTCAGTGTAGCTTGCAGTCTGTCTAAAGGCCTCCTCCAAAGAAACATCTACAAGATAAATAATTTTTTGAAAGCTATTTTTTGGTACGCTGTATGAATGGGAACGCAGAACAAACACAGTGGAATTTCTCATATCTGACAGCAAATGTGGAAAAACATTTTAATCTCAGACTTCTGACACAGGTATTTTCCTGTCAAACAAACTTGAAAGCTATGGGGCACTGATGTCAGCAGAGTCTTCCTTTTCAAATAGAAGCCTGTTTTTCAGTAAACGGTGTGTTTGCGAATCACACTAGTTACATAAAATTATTCTGTATTGCATAACTAAAATCTGTTGGTGTCAAATGAGTTCTGTCTGTTTTTAGCCCAAGCCTGATAGTGAACGTGCGCGAAGCTTGACTTTGTATGACAGTCACTGCTAGCAGTTATAATGTCACGTATATATGAGCTAAAGTATGTATGTAATGTAGAGTTGACTATATATAGATCTATATATATATATTAGAGGTGCACCGAAATGCAAATTTCAAAACCGAAATAATACCGAAATAAAAACAATTGTCAGGCCGAAACCGAAAATGTTTTTATTTTAACTTTTTCAAATGTTTTTAAATAGTTGATTTTTATTTACTTTTTATAAACTTTAAAACATGTTTTTATTTATTTTTATTAAATACTTTTATTTTTTTACTTTACTTTTAGGGGCTACGGGGAAATATTAGGCGTCTAAACAGACCCCTGATATTTCCCTTTTAAAATAGAAAAAGAGATTGGGGACACAGAGTCCTCAATCTCTTTTTCTGCAGCCCCTGTTATAAATGAACAGGAATCCTCTATACTGAGTGTTCCTGTTCATTCATAACATGAGAACATAATACAGTATGTTTAATATAACCATGAATGAACAGGAGGAGATGTAGATCACTTCCCATTCATTCATAATTGAGGACACAGTCACCATACTATGTCCTCAATTATGTACAAACACTCAGCGATCACTGAGTGTTTGCATTGGCTTCCTGACACGCTGTCAC